AACTGTTTATCTGTAGCTTCGCGTGCTTCCACATACTACCCTTTAACTTTGCAATATGAGACCCCAGGTTACACCCAACATCACCACCAATGCAGTTAAAAGCGCGATTCTACCTAGAAGTGGAAAATGGGTAAAATCGTAAAAAGTAGAATCAAAGCGTAAGTTTTTTGACGCACCCTCTAAAATAGCTAAAATATATTAAGTACAACATATAGTATGTAAAATGTGAGTGTGTAGATTTTAGATAAGTGAATAACTACATGAAATTCACAATTAAAGTGTAATATCTAGCACATAAAGTAATTTGTGTTGACTCAAAAGTAGAGTAAACTCATAACTTCCTAATAATAAGCTCATAAACGTAGATCGTAACCTATAAACGAGCTTGAGAATCCAAATTCTCATAATCTAGTTTGAGTTTACATAATTACATACGATCAATTACCCATAAACTTTTATCGTAACCCAGGTAAGAGCCACAGGTGAAGATTAAGGGAGATGACCGATAGAAGGTCAGCGGCTGTTGAGAATACCATTAGGTGTCTTTTCAACCTAATGTGAAGCCTCTATCTCGACACTAGTTGTAGAATGAGTGATGAATCATGCTTTACTTTTTTATTTTTTGCTGATATGTCTTCAAAATTACATCATTTTGGAACAATTAGCACATTTTTATGAGATGATCCAAATCGTATAAAAACGCTTCAGAATCGCGATTTTACCGATTTTAAGCGATTTTCCCATTTTACCCATTTTTTTACGTTTTAATACACGATTTTGACTGCACTGATCACCACGAGTATCTCCAGCTATGCAATCCGTCTTCGGGTAAGGGAGTTTGATGCTCATAAGATCCCTCCACCAAGAATATGTTTTTGTTGCAAACCTCTAGTGGCACTTACAAAGAAGGGCTTTGAGTAACAGTGTGTAGACTTGCAGTAAACCGCAATTAGGGCTGGTAATCGGTTGGTTATCGGTTAATCGATAACCGACTAACCGGTTAACGGTATACCGAAACCTGAAAATTTGCTTTCGACTACCGATACCGACGTACATTCGGTATACCGGATACCGAATTGTCGGTTACCGATAACTAATCCGGTTTACCGGGATGCTGGATCGATTCCATGCTCGCTGCCCGCCGGTGGTCTCCAGAGCTCAAGAGTCGAATTAATCTTGCCGGAAGAGAGGAAGAGAGAGAAGTCGAGAGAGGGATATTTTTGCATGGCGCCGGATCTGGAGCTTCGCTGACCCAGGTCGAAGATGAAGTTAAAGGGTCGCTGACCCAAGTCGGAGATTCGCCGGATTTGGAGATCTGAGGCAGTTCGTGAGAGGGAGTGATGTCGGGGAGAAGGACTCGACAACATCGTCGATAGGGCTTCGAGGAGAGAGGAATCAGAGGAGATTTTTTTTTGATTTGACAGTCGTGGATCTGATTTCGGGGAGAAGGGTCGTTAACTCCACCGACGAGGTATTTCTGGTAAGTTTGGGAGAAGAAATCGGTAAGTTTAATTTCTTTAAGATTGAGGCGGAGAGGAGGGAGTGCCAGAGGGTGGTTCCAGATTTCAGGAAGTAGAGGGAGAAGAAATAGGGATTTCCCCGGGGAATGGTGTGAGAGCGAGAGGAAAGGGGGGAAGGAATTGAAAATAGAGGGGGGAGAGTGATTACCGGTTAGTTTATCGGTAATCGGCTATCCACCAGTTATTAAAATCGGTTACCGGTAAACCGAAAGAGGCAACATGCTGCTCGACAACCATCCGAAAATCTATAATCGGTTAACGGTATAACCGATAACCGGTTCGGTTATCGATTATACCATTAACCGGTTACCGATTACCAACCCTAAACGCAATATAAGGAATGAGGAGAAAGTTCTTAAAACCACCAACCTAATCGGTTTGAGAAACTAGTAGCAATGGTACATAGTTTGCAAGCCATATTTAAAACATTGATCGTTAACTTCGAATCTTGATTGATTCACAACCATAGAAGCTTCAAGGAAATCTTCTCAGCAATACAGAGAAAAATCAAAATAAGGAAGTTGTCAATGCTATCTCAATGACAGTAGGAGCTTCCTAGATCAACCAAAGCAAGAAAGGAGAGCATAAGCAAATTCTGGAAAGGATGGCCACCTGGAAGGATGATGATCACTATCCATCAGTCATTTGGGATTTGATAAAGTCATTGGAGGAGCAGAGGCAACTATGCTGTTGCTAGAGAAACTTATCTTTATGGAAAACCCAAAAGAGAAACTTAAGATTCCCATTGAGGAAGATGACAAGATTGAGTAGGGGGAAGAATTGTAAAATCAACCCCTTAGGGTTACGATCAAATGATCATAGTACAGAAACAAAGGAAAGATCCTGGTCATTGTATTATTAGATGTGTAATAGAAGATCATACAGTGGAATAAGGATTTGTTGATCTTAGTTCAAGCATCAACATCTTACCTCTCCAACATTATGAAGAGATGGTTCTTGCAGATATGGATGACATCAACATGGAGACCAAGTTAGTATACAACAATCCAGTTCAAGCACTTGGGATAGTTAGAGGCTTAAGTATCCAAGTAGGACCATTCATCTTCTTCCCAAATTACATAGTGATAAACATGAAGATCAAAGATACGTATTCATAGACTACGTAGTGATCAACATGAAGATCAATGCAGCAAGAGGATATAACACTTAACATATAGAAAGATAATGTATCAGGTATTGAAGCCTATGAAAGTTAAGGTCATCGACAAGGAATGCAATTATGATGATTTCAAGGCTAATGATAGAGAGATGGATTCAGAGATGGAGATAAAGATTAGATCAAGATCTCTTATTGAGGATGCCAATCGAGCAATGTATCACCATCGCGAGCAAGACATAGTATAGGGTGGTCAAAGCCCATGTCTTGCGTTAAACTTACTGACGTTACACAAAAGTGTTACCAAGGAAACAACCCAAATTTCTATTCATAATTTTCTTTTAATTTTAATTTTTTGCAAATTCTTAGTTATCATTGGAGGATACTAAATACAAGTTTTATCTTTTGAATACGTGATACATTTAAAAGGAGACTTATGAGATATTTCTCGGAAAGGAAGTATTCAATGGAGAATGGTCATACGAAATTCACTTTCATATTATCAAATAAGTGAAATTACGTGAAAATGCATGAAACTGACAAAAACCAAGTTAACCAACCATAGAAGCCACATGGAAGGACTTGGGAGGACTGACATCTTCTCTCTAAGGTCTTATATAACCAAGTTAACCAACCATAGAAGTCACATGGCAAGACTGGGCAGGACTGACATCTTCTCCCTATTGTCCGCCTATCTTTTAGTCCGTTGAGAAGAATATCATGTTTAAAGTGTGGGGTGGAAATGAGTTTGTGATGGTTTGTTTCATTATGCTTATACATGATATATATTCAGTCTTTTAATTTTTAAATTGGATCCAATATATGATAGTTATGAAATTTGTGAAATATTTAAAAATTATAAAGATGCATTATCCATCTTTGCCTTGATGTAATCTTCTTTCTTCATCCCTAATTCAGAGAATCCTAGTTCAAGTCGTACAAGGAAGCTTTTGGCCGAGTTTTATGATGAGAAATCCTAAAAACCCATTCTATTATGTATTATATATAGAGGGTCAGGCTAAAGGATTTAGGAGATACGGAAATCACAAGTACTACTCTTTAATTCTCGAGAAATGAGTCACTCGGGTCAAGGAAAGATCGAGTTAGCATCAAAAGGAGGCGCACAGTTAAAGAGATGCCTTCATCATCAATGGTGGTACAATCTTTCTCTCTTATGTTTAGCTAGTTCCATTTGTTGTTTAAGTATGTTAATTATATTGACATTCATGTGTCTTTTTTTTTCTATTATTTAATAGGATGCCATAGTTCATCGATGCTCTAAATCATATATTATGTGCTACTGTGATTTTGCTTATCATATCATTATAGGTTACTAAGAAACTTTCTTTATATTATATATTATTGCCTTATGCATGTATGAATTGAATGATCAACCTTTCATGCCTATATGAGATTGATGCTTGATATACTAGATCATTAATGTCATAGGCCATTGTTATGAGCTCATATAGGCCTTAGATGGCTATGTGCTATCCTTAGTTCCTTATATGATTGATTAGTTGATTGCATGAAGCGAAAACACGAATTAGCTAGTTATAGTTCCTTTTGCATGTGGGGAAAGCTCGACTAGGAATGCTTGAAAGGGATAGAGTATCTTATTAGGAGATGCATCAATGCATGTTATTATTAGTGAGATTGGATAATTGATCATGTAGATGATACTTTGTTTGTTGAACAATTGTGTATCCTTTACTTATCTTGTATATCTATATTATCTATAATTTACTTTATTGCTTTGTTTATCTATGCCTATCTGAGAATCAACTAAACATAGAGAACATTAACCCATCAATTATCTTTGTTTAGTCTTTGTTTGAGCATAAGTGATTGGAGTAGTTGCTATTAGAAGACCCTGTCGAATACGATCCTAAACGTTTCCATGAGTTTTGTTACTTGGCAATACTACTACATAAAATGATTGTCTGATGGTCCGATTCTTGATCAATATAGTGTTTATTCTTGGAAAGTGTCCATCCACAACGAAGAGTCTAACGCTCTATAAGCATTCTTGAACACATGCATCCCTCATTCGTTTATTAGTCCACGTAAACGGGCTTCCATGAAAGCCAAGGTCTTGAAAACCCAAGATGTCAATGAAATTCCACAAATCCTCATCTTGTGATGGGATCCAAGCATTACCCCTTAGTTTCTCGTTTGATGTTAAAACAGAGTTAAAATTGCCAATGACCACTAATGGCACCGAAATGTCAGAGCAGTAAATTCGTAAAACTTCCAATTGTGAGCGCCGAATGGGCGCAATAATAATGATAATATAAAGACAAACAACCACATACTGATAATCATTATTATTGATAGCAACAGAAATAAAAATGATGAATTATAAAGCATCGAAACATTAATTTCGGGAGACCAACCGACAACTAAACCACCAGCAGAATTGATGGCATCACCAAAAAGACAAAAATCCAAATTAAAACTCAAACCATGAATCCTATAACTACGAAAAACTACCCTCCAACACGATCTGATTTCAGATAGAAAAATCAAATGCGATGGCATTGATTTGGCACCATTCAACCGTACTAGACCCAACAAAGACTAAAATGCGATTTATTGTAGAAATTGCACCAACTTTATTTTATTTTGATAAAAATGAGTGATCAAGCCGCGGTAGTTTCCTCCGTCGCTTTGATTGTGAAAGGGTGCCAAATCAATGCCATGGCTCGATCTTTGTCCATTGGAGTAGGCATTCCGTTCCCATCACCATACTGATACATGAATCGGAACCCTCGAGCAAGGTTGAGGCCAAGATTGACATACATTTTCATGTCACCATAATTGGCCATAGCCTCTTCGTTGATTTTCATCCATGTTTCACCAATTTGCTTCTCTATGTTCAGGCGGGCTTCTTTTTCCGAAACATCCTTATCTTTCATGTAAGATTCTACTGATTTGAGAATATCCCCTCTTCCAAGTTCCGCCTATACACGATGAAATTATCAATGGATTAAACATCATCAATAATAATAAATCACATTAGTTCGTAAAGGTCGTGTGTTTGATTCACGCCATCAACTGATTCGTAAATAAATCTCTAAGTAGCATCAATCACAATGTATACCTTGGAGGTTGCCAGATCATTTATAAGACGGTTAGCGGTGGATACCCAACGAGTGAATTTTGGATAATTAAGTAAGTATTCAAAACTCTGTGCCCCAAGAGTGGCCCCAGAAGCGGCATAAGTGTAAACCAACACAATACTTGTTGCTACCGACTTCCACCCACGTTCCAAGTATTGCTCAAAGGTTTCCTCAAATCCAATAGTATAGAAAGCCTCGGCTTCTTCCAGGTACAGCTTGCATTGTTCTTGCCACTTTTAGTCAATACAAAACTTAGCATAGTTATGGTCTCATTTTAACACCTCATCGGAAAATAAAATAAAAAATATATAACATTTTAATAGTTCACAAAATAATAGGCTAATCTATGGTACAATCTCGATTTTGAGTGTGCTACACACCCGACCACATACCATCTGATTCGTCTTAAAAAGCTCTAACTAAACCATCAACCTCATAGCAATGAAAAGAAAAATGTGTGAATTCACTCATAATTTATTTACAATTTGCTTGCATTTTAAGTACTATTTATAAGATGCTTAATTCTAGACTATGCCATCATATTAAATAAATGATGCGATCAAAATTTCAAATTTTATTGCTAGAATATGAGTTTAATTATAATGTACCACATAGATTCCAAATAAAAGGTGTACGTAATACAAATGCACTCAACAAATTATCTATCATTGTATCACTGATCGATAATAGTTTCTCATAAAGCTTATAAAACAAACTGTTTCTCTGACTTCCTTTACTAAGATAGTAGGAAAAAATAGTAAAAAATATGTAAAAACATATATAATTAGTAGAATCATGAAAAACAATTAATAAACTCGTACCGCTTGTTTAAGGAAAGGCAAGCTGTTGAAACCTTGTTGCATTATGTTGTGGTCGGCTAGTTCATTAGTTGTATTGTAGACCGCCATGAAGCATGTTTGCATGTATACGGGAAGCGTATCGATTTTAGATGGGTCCCACCTATGTAAAGATTACAATGTCCAGTAAGTAACTTAGTGTTGATGTAACTGGTTGTTTTTTTTTGTTCATGCAAGTGTTTTTTTTTTTTATTCTTGAAAAAGTATATATTCAGTAATTTAAGAAATTCAAGAAGGCAATTACCTTTGTATGGCGGCAGTGAAGAGGTGGAGTTCATCCAGAGAAGCGTAAATATCATAGACATCATCCACGACATTAACAATGCATACAAGCTTCGACATCGTCTTTCTACAGTAGCTGAAATGAGGCTCTTGGGCCAACCCAACTGCCCATAGGAAGCTCTCCGTCAAACGATCACGTGCAAACGGCAGCTTCTCCGGTATGGCCAACTCATATTTCCACCACCTGTACTTTCCAAATTTAATTAATTCTCTCTCGTTTAGATTTCTGGCTCTTTCGTCGCTGATGACACCGGCCCACTATGAGGATAAAAATCATTGCAAAAAAAAAAAAAATTACGTGGACGTTGTTACCTGTTGAGCTCGTCCAACTCGCTCTGGTAGAGAAACTGGACCGTATTATAATCGATCATCGCGAATCTAACCAAGGCTGGATCCATCATTTCTTCGCTGTACTGTTTGCAGTATTGCTCGATGTGCCACCTAACTTGAGAGCGCTGAAGCCTCCAGTGGGATGGAAGCTCCAATGTGCGCTTCACTTGGTTGGCCAGCATGGGACCGATGATCTTATCATCATCAGCAGCTGAAATGATGGACTGAAGATGGCTCCTAGCAAAGCTCTTGGCTTCGTCGAGCAGAGTTTCACCTGGCACGCTAAGATACGAAGCCTCGTACAAGCTCAGCAGGGCTCTCGCATCGCCACTGATCATCTCTTGCTTAAACTTCCCTCCCTCGTCTAGAAATCCTTGGAAAGTATCTGATCATTTTTTTTTTCAGGTCAACCAATTAAAAATTAATAAAATAAGTTTTTAATTTCATCATTTATGTGTGTGTGTGTGTGTGTAAAATACTTAATTACCAGGAGATATCCAGATTCCAGCTTGTCGAAGCAGCCTGAAACGTAGGGCCAAAAAGTAGAGGTCTTCTGTGCAGGTAGAAGTAGTGGCGATCTTTTCCAGAGCGTCCTGAATCTCCGTCTCGAAATAGTAAGCAAGTCCCAGTTTCTGTACAGTGTCGATCGTCTCAAGGACACGACGTGCCACTGTCTCCTCCTCGTCGTCGTCGTCACCTCCAGTAGCAGTGATGAGCCGTAGCACTTTCTGTTTGACATCCTTCTTCAGCTCCTCCGCTTCTTCTTCTTCTTCCTGCCAATACTGTGATTTCTGTTGTAAATGTGTACATATAAAAAAGGACCGCATGAACTGATAATAAACAAGCTAGTTATAGTACCGTACAAGGGTACTAGTGTTGTCCCGATTTGGCGGGTGGGAGTAGTCATGGGATTCCCAGATGTTTGGGCCGTAGTTCCCCGATCGACGTTGTTGCGGATAAGCTGCATGGAGTTCCCTGCAGCGGCTAGTTCTGCTCCGCAATTTGGGTTGAGATTTGAAGCTGTAGTGGGAGTAGGGCGCCAAGGCTGCGGCAGGCTGCAGTTTGTATGCTCCTAGTGGAGATCCATCAGTTGGTTGACGGTGCGACGGCACGAGTAGTGTAGTTTTGACACCGAAAGCCAAAGGAGTGTCCATTGATTCACTTCAAAACGCACCTAAATTTATCATCATTCAATCACTTCAAATTACCCTAAAATTAATAATTCATCTATTTCAACCGACTACCCAGTGGCGGATTCAGAAAATTTTCACAGGGTGTCCTCTTCAAAAATTAAATTTAATTATATAATAAATTAAATAATTCGTATATTAAAAATAGCATACTTGTATAATTTGTATAAATTTTTTATTAAATAATAAATTAAAATTCATATTTTAGAAAAATAATATAAATAAACTCCGTGTCTGCACTGTTCAAAAAAAATCTACATATCCTACTAGACAATACTTCACGAACTTAACACATATTCGATTTCTAACCTTGTTCTTAATGTAGCTCAAAGTAGAAAAGGCTATTTCAACACTTGTCGTGTAACCATAAAATCAATTCAAAATTAAGGGTAGTGTGTGCGTAGTTTAATTATTAGGTATTGAAAATAGTTGGGGATAAAAAAATAGCGTTTTACTGTTGCATGATGTTTAAAATAGAATAACAAATGAGTAGCAATATAATTAGAATATGTTTGATAATAGTAGTGGTCTAGGTTGGAATAACACGGACTACCACTTATATTTTGTTAATCATAAGCAAACTATTATCGAGCGTAGGATAATCATTTTTTCAAATGTTAGAGTGTCCCGGATTACCAATTATATTTTGTATACCCATACGAAACTACTACCGGTTGTTGGATAATCGTTTCCCCAAATTTTAGGGGTGCCCGGGACACCCCTAGAGGCCCATGTATCCGCCCCTGCCACTACCTACACATAATGATATCCTTTCTATTTTGACCTAACCCTCAAATTTCACCAATTATTTTGAAATTAAATCCTCCTATTTATTAGGGATAAACTGGGCCGGATCTTGATAGAACCGTATATGACTCGCCACTTTAGGGACAATTTATAAAGCTGGCTAGCCCCACTCCTTTTTATTTTTTTTTAACCCTATATGACCTTGGGCAGCGCCGAGACGGGCCAAATCAGTGGGTCATGTAAAATAATTAAATAAATCAACTAACTTATTTTAAAAAAAATTACATAATGATAGCCAATGTGTTGGTATGAACAATTTAGTACCTTTAAAATTATTTTTTTGAAATAGGTCCGAAATTGTGGTGGTAAAATTCTGTTTGATTACCTTTAATTTATTTTATAGTATCTAAACTTTTAAAACATTACATACAAGTCAAATGTGATGGTATGAGAAATTTCGTATCACTAGTTGTTGCTATGGGTCCTGCGGTCAAAAAGTAACTCAACCATAAGTTGACCAAACTCTAATCAATCCTTATAGGTCAAAGAATGACTCAACTCCAGGCTGACCCTGTAGACAAAACTGGCACAACCCGATTCTCAAATTCAGCTCGAATAATGTAGCGAGATCAGTGAGTGTCCAGCCCAGACTTACCATCCTACTATATATACGAATCTTACCTCCCAGCCACCCTTATTTTGTTCATCAATCAAAACTTGAAAACATAAAGAACATTACTTTTGAGAACAAATATAAGCTGATATAATTACCGAAAAACATAACCTGACTGACATGTAGTAAATTGTAACACCTTAGTATGTCAGACCCTAGCAAAAAACGTCAGAATTAAGGAAAACTGAAAACATAAACGGTCAACGTAATTTGATACATTTAGACATAATAAATATATTCATCTTAAATCTCATGTGGTACTAAAGTACAAATTGTCAACTAAATGTCTTATAGAGTTGAAAGTCATTGTATTTGCATGTCTGGCAACAATTAAGTTCATGATAGTGAATTTGGAACTCTTAAGTGCGGGCGTGAGGATCCTGTCTTGATTCTATTTGTTGCTAATTAATTGCTAGTCAAACGAGTGGCTAAAAGGAGCTTTTACTAACTAACTTAAAAATTAAACATAAGCTACAAGCTAGAAACTTGCTTAACTCGTAACTTGTATCCACTTGCTTTAAAACATAACATTATGGTGAAATTCAATGTCAGGAAGAACAAATGCTCAAACTTTGTGAATCCATCTAGATGTCTGCTAAATCGTCGCCAAAATTGAAAATTTTCAAAATCTTACAAACTTACATAAACAGTGATTATAACTTGAGAAATCGGGGTTTCTTAATTACCTCTTATTTGTGCTTTGTCGTAGATTTGAATCGGTAGGTAGGATCTGTATTCTTTGCTTAGACCGCCGTTCGATCGATCAGCCCACACCTCCGCCAGCAAAACTACGTACGGTGCAAGAAACGGCCGTTGTTAGTTAGCTATGTAGGTTTGGAGGTTGAATATTAGGGCTGGGCTCGTACGTGGTTCTTTCCTACTGGCGACGGAAGGAGGGAATGAGGTTGATGTTGATAAAGACAGATCGAGCAAGGTTCTGGTGTTGTGAATTCTCTGTGGTGATGGAAAGTTAGGTGTGAGCCGAGATGGAAGCCATAATTAAGATGATGTTTAAGTAAGGAAGGAAAGAGAGATTTCATGCTATGAGGGAGCACCGACACTGTTTACAGTTGCAAGCAACTCCATCCTTATCAATTTTGCCAGCTCATCTTGTCATCCATTAGTATGGTTGTCTGTTTCTCTCGCCACATCTTATCATGCATTATATAATTATAATTATTATTATTTAATTAATAGCGCAAGCGGCCAAAATCAGTCGTGCACTGTTCCTTACGAAAAAGTAGGGTAGTGCATTGTTTTCCGAGAGTACTGTTCATTAGATTAGATGATTGTATAATATATGGACGGTTTTAAATAGACATGTAACATAAGATTTTCGTAATGATATATGCCATTTTATCGAAATATGATGTTATTATTCATTACGTAAGACTCAAGTAATGTAATTTCGGAACTGTTACCTAAAGTAAAAATAAATTATGCAAAGATTATAAAACGATAAATAATTTTTATTACTGAATGAACAGTTCACAAGAAGTATTTATCCCCTCCACCTAATTTCACCATAAGCTCTCCTAATTTCACCATAACCTTTAATAGGATTACATTAACGTTCTCTAAAGTTAGATTTTTAAACACCAGTTAATCAAATGTTATATGATTTTAACATTAGACAACACGCTTTTTATCATTAGACCATATTATACGAAAGATTTGTGTAAACTTATTCTATAATTTTATATATTATTAGAAGATCCCAGTTTCACTTTCATCATAAAATTTTTATGATAATTAGATCACATAATATGAAACATTTTATAACACAATTCTACAACTGTCACGTAATTACAAAAATATAAGCTCCAATATTCACCATTTGTCTCTTTATTATTTGCCTTGCACTAAGTATATGTAAGGTAATTTTTTTTTGTACATAATAAGTTAATCAAATTTGATTTTTTTTACTTGACTTCATTATTAGACCACACAGTACGAAAGATTACTGTACTATAAAAGTTATGTGATTGTAAATATATTGTATAAACCTCTCATTTACCATAAACTCTGTATTACTTGCGTTACACATAACGGTTTTGTAAAATCATTTATTTTTACAAAATATTATATATATAATAATTTTCTTCTTGATTTTAATTTTTTATGTATCAACCAAACAGACGTATCATGTAAGTCTTTCGTAATGATTAAAATATTACATAGACATATGTATGACGTATATCTTTTCTAATGATTAAGACACTACCTAACACTTATTTATGTATTTTACAACAGTAATTTTATAAATTATTTGATTTCAGCTAAATTATTAAATAAGTGGAAGAAGTTATAAATATAATTAGTTTCTTACCGCAGCAAAGCGCGGGTCAAAAAACTAGTATTTATAACGGCGCGAGTTACCATGATAATTCTATAGAGGTAGCATCATGTTAATCATTCTTATTATCGTTTATTAATTTTAAAATAAATTTGATGGAAGGAAATATGAAAAATTTCAGGAAATTAATTTAGTAAATAAATAAAATTTGAAATATTTCTCTCTTCTTTTTCAATACAGATTTTCTAAGTGAAACAATTACTACTAGAAATATACTACTTAAATTCTTAGTAGGTTCGGTGGTTATAGTAGCAATTTTGTTTTTTCTTGCAGTGATTTAATTATTTTCAATACTGATTTATAAATCTTAAATTTGTTGTAAGTGATGAATTTTCGAAAAGAATGACAATGAAGACAATATTGGCACAAATCATTATTAACACAACGACAAACCAAACACGTATCATTTTAAAAATAACATACATCACTGCTACACAAGAAAATACTACACCATGTCCATATTATTATATAACCACCATGCGCATTATTGATTAACAATATCTTGAGGTTTTTTTAATTAGTTACTTTTTTTTGTTGTTGTATAATATTGGTTACTGATTCCAAAGTGAATGATCATTATTAACGTGTGTACAGTATCGAATTCGGCAACTGTTAATTTGTCACATTTATATTCCTTTTTTATTATCTGCCACATTTATATTTTCAAAAAGTGACAGGTGATTATTAAAGTGGTCATTATTATCCGCTTACTCCTGCAGTGCACAGTATAATTCAGAAGGTTGAGCCCCAAATCTCCCTTGTCTATTATCATGGTGTCTTGTTGTGGTGGCGTTGCTGCTGGTAACTGGGATATGAGAAAATTTTGCAGGGAGCGTTTAATATAAAGAAGATTCACACACATTTGTATAACATTAATATGAAAATATTCAATTCAGAATTTCAAAAATTCACACACCATGCGTATTTGAGGGATCTTGCATTTTCTTTAGGGTTCCATCCAAAGAGGAATTTCTAGAGAGAGAGATAGTGATCTTCAGTAATCTTGGAGCTAAATTGGATGCTTGGACTGATCTTAGAGTCAAGGATTCAAGTCTAGAAGATGAAGATCGTGAGATATTTTGTAATCTCTCTCCCCTCTCTCTAGAATTAGCCCTCTTCTTTTAGGTTGAAGAACTCTTGCTCTAGATTTTGATTAGATGTTGATGTATGAGACAAATCCTATGTTTGATTATTCATCTAATCTATTTGTCATGGATTACATGAGTTTGGATTCCATTTCATGTCAATTGAGCTTTTGACCTAGTAGGGACAAAGTTCCCTTTTAACCCATTCTTGGCAATTAGGGTCACTCCTTAATCTATGTCATCCGGTGCCTAATCCTCCGACTTCGAGGGAGTCATTTCGATTGATTTCATAATGATATAGGGTTTCCCTAGGTTGAACAGAGCCCCTATCAATCCATCATTTCACCGTTCCTAGTCAATCTCGAGAGAGAGAATCGATCTCCTAACGGTAGGGATGTCGAGTCAATCGACCTAGGATGATACTCAACATCGGTCCAAATGATTGAACTAGGTGGATTCAAGCTAATAGAGCTCCAAACCTGTAATTAACTAGGCTAGTGTAGTTAGGTTAGCTAGTTTATTCACTATTATAGCATGCTCGAACAAGATCTTGTGCTGGTAAGACCCACAACACAGGGCCCCCAATATTATTGGGCCTCACAATCACGCCCATACACATATATCTTATTATTTTACTTATTGCCAAAAACCAATGTTAAATCGATTGGACTTTGGGTATTAGCGTCAGTTCTGGAAGGTGGGGACTATTTACAATATTTTCAAAATATGGACTCATTAATATTCCAATTAATTTAAAATGCTAAAATCGTAACTCCTTAAATCTATTAGTTTCAACGTATTAGCCAATTTCATTTCATAAAATATTATTCGCACTAAAATTTAGTTGAGTCACGATAATAGCTAGACTGCTAATATTTGCTTGTTAGTATGTTGCTAATGTTATGAATTGAAATTGTACCATGACATTAAAATATAATTCAATTGCTAAGAAATAAAACATTTCAAATTCGTATAAACTTACATAAACGTCAATTTGAACTCGAAAAATCGGATTTTCTTACCTCTTATGTGTGCTTGGTCCTAGACTCGAATTGGTGCAAGAACGGCCGTTGTTATTTAGCTATGTAGCTTTGGAGTACGAATAGGGCCGGGCTCGTTGTTCTTATCTACTGGCGAGTGGCGATGGGATTCAGTAGTAATGGAAAGTTAGGCGTTAGCCGAAATGGAAGCCATGTTGGAGGCTATATATCTCTTTCTGTTTCTCTGACCACGCTCCAATAGTTCCCCACAATATCACACTCATATTTATCACAGTTCAATAGTCCTTCACGATATCACACCCTTATTTATCACAGTCCAATAGTGCTAACTTTTATTGGGTTTGCACTGTACTAATTACTCTAACCATTGTTTTGTATTTTTAAATTAAAATTTGACGGAGGAGAGTAATGAATTAACTTATTCGATATTTCATGAAATTAATTTATTAAATAAATAAAATAACAACTATTTTGCTCTTCAATTCAATAGAGATTTGTATGTCAAATAATTACTATCGAAAAATATATTATTTAAAATATTAGTAGTCTTAGTGGTTATAGTATTAGTAGCGATTTTATATTTTTTATCGTAATTTAATTGTTATCAATAGTTACTTAATTTTTATAAAATTAGCTGTAATTAATAAATTTTAGGTGAAAATCATATTGAAAAATGCATCATTGATATGAAGTACTATATTAATGCAAGCAATAAGCCAAACACGTATCATTTTGAACAGAACACACATCACTACTACACAAAGAATACACTGCACCATGCGCATTATTGATTAACAATATCTTGAGGTTTTTTTTAATTGGTTACTATTCCAAAAGAGACTGGTCATTATACACGTGTGTACCGTATTGAATTCGCCAACTGTTAGTGTTAATGTGTTGATATCTTGGAAGAAAAAGGTTTACTGGTATTATTGATAAAAACGGTGAGCTTTTACACTGTCTGATTATATATATATATATATATATATATATATAAACTGTTTCTGTAAAATATCAAAGTAATGCTACAATAAACAAACATTACAAATCAATCCTTATACTACAAATCTGTTACATTTGAGTCCTCCAACACCCCCCGCAAGCTGGAGTGTGAATGTCCACACGGTTCAGCTTGGAGTTAAGACCTGCAAACACTGTACTTGCCAAAGACTTGGTGAAAATATCAGCAAGTTGATTCTCACTGTTAACAAACAATACTTTTATCAATCCTGACAAGATGCGATCGCGAACAATGTGACAATCTATTTCAATATGCTTTGTTCGTTCATGAGCTACTGGATTTTCAGCTAAGGGAATGGTAGATTGATTGTCACAAAACAGAATAGTAGGAGAGGTAAATGAAACACCTAAGTCACGAAATAGATAGTGCAACCACAGTACCTCACAGGTTAAGTCGGCCATGGCTCGGTATTCGGCCTCAGTGGAAGATCGAGAAACAGTAGGTTGTTTCTTTGATCTCCAACTGATAACAGAGTCCCCAAGAAACACACTATTCCAGTTACTGAACGACGAG